AAGTGACATTGCCAATGAATACATTTTATTAACGTACAAAATGTATTTCGATGCAAACTTCACCATCAACAGGCTATATTCAGCCCATCCGTGCTAAAATAAATCTTGTTTTATTCATTTACAAACAGAGAACTATTTTAAATCAAATAAAACGGATCCACCGCCCAATTACATTTGCTCATATAAAAATAAATTAATCTTGGTTAACATAAAGTTTGGGAGTTCTATTGGCTTTATTCTAAATATTTCCTTTATATATGCTTTACAATTGCGTAAAGTTTGATTAAGACATTGCTTAATCAACTTGAATTAGTTACGCTTAAGATGGGTCTGTGGTATATGAAGTAAATTTTATTTATTTATTTAGTGTTCTGTCTGACGCCAGGTCCATATGAACAGGATCCTTCCATCTTTTTCTCGGACTGGGACCTGTTCATATCCGTTCTTGGCAGATGATCCAGAAGTGGTTTGCCATTGCCTTCTTCTGTTTGTGAATGGAGTAATTGTTGGGATGCCACGGAGGAAAACTCCGTGTTGCCTAGACCACGGCCTTGCCCAACACAAGTTATAAATTCGGGCACCGCCGGGAATCGAACCCGAGACCCCAGGATTACAAGGCCAGCGTTCTAACCGCTAGACCACCGTGTAAGGTATATTATTTCCATGGGATCGAATTCCTAGTTTTACTTTAATATTATAAATACTAGGCTTAATTCGTATAAACTGTAGGCCCACTTGAGTTATCTGAGAAGCAACAAGCATGATAGTTATCAAACTAGCGTCTTCACGGTCTGATTTAATGGATGAAAAAGCAAGAAACCTACGACAGAACACTGATAAAAAAACTCGACCAGCTTCACTTCCAATTTCAGTGTAGGCTAACTCGTTCAATGGGAAGTCCCCCCACCCCCCCCCACCCCAGCCGAAAAGGCGAGATCACTGCAGCAAAGTAGTTTGGGGTCGACTGGGGTCACAAGGTCTCGTGGAGCATGCACTCTCAGGTCACGTAATCGAATTCCACTGGATATATTTTATTTACTAATTCCTGGTTTATTTAAAGAAGTCTTCAATTTCTTAACGTAAACACGGTTGAATGATAGATTAAATAAAAATGAATTGGAAATGACGAGGTCGTGGCTTAATATTAACATTTTAAAATATACGTAATTATCTGTACCACCTCATATAATATTTACGCATTTTCTTTACAGAGTGTATTTGTGGCTTCGTAAACAGCGAATCTTTCATGTAGATCGACCGACCGTCTCTGTAACGAAGTGTTTTTCGATCCGGGCTTCAAACGGTGAACATACTAATTGTCCTGGTGGGACTGAGGAAACCCATGGAGACCGTCAGGCAGTACAGCCTTTGGTGGTGAAAATAAAGTATGGTCATTCACAACAGATGTGACGTACAGTGTGATGACTTTTCATCACCGTATAAGATCTTATGGTTCCAAACGAAAAGGTTTATGTAGGTTTCTATGACCTCAAAGATGGGACAGTAAAAGTCTGTTTATGTCACCCGTTGAGCATTCAAATGTGTTCATTTCCTATCCTTTTGTACTGCATTAAAATATATGTAATGGTCAATTTAGTACTACTGCTGCAAGAGATAGAGAAGGTTTTTTGTTCGAAATGCCACCTTAGTTGAAGGTTTGTGTGTGGCTGCTCCAACTGTGGCTACGAAGCAGTCCATTCATCGGCCTCAGAGGAGGAGACATTCAGTTTCTTATAACGACAAACACCGACAACAGACAAATGCTCCTGGAACGCAGCAAGACAAGAATGATACATGTCAAAAATATAAATTCGAAATTCCCTTGAAGTTCTTGAGAGTTTATCAAGAAAAAAAAATAGGCTTTTCAATGATTATTAATCAATATCAAATCTAAAACTTCTTGACGATGGTGAAGAGTCAATTGAATAAAAATTTACTTGGATATTATCCATCGTCTAGTAATAAAACGTAAAAACGACGTTTCGGAGATGAGGCTCTATCTCCGGAGATAGGGATTAGCTCTATCTAGTGGGCCCAACTGAGTAGGAACCTGAAGACGGAGATAGAGCCTCATCTCCGAAACGTCGTTTTTACGTTTTATTACTAGACGATGGATAATATCCAAGTAAATTTTTATTCAATTGTTCCTAGCTTATTTCGCACCAAACTACGAAGCCGTGTGGGGAGTGGAGGTGGGCGTAACTCATTCTTCACCACTCTTTCTAGAGGCGAGTTCTAAGCTTCACCCCGGTATAAAGAGTCCCCGGCACCCATCCGATAGCAGACAAAGCCTAAATACATTGGCGAAGAAAAAAATCTATCGTCCCTGCCGCGAATCAAACCCCGGTCGTCCAAAATTGGGTCAAACGGTTACTGCTCTGGAAGCTGTTCCTCTGGGCAACCCTGGGAGGAGCAGAGACAGACTGACAGACTATTTCTGGTCCAGGGGTCTGCTATTATGGTTGCCTCCACTCGACTCACACACATTTCAAAACCGGATCTATGCATAAGTACCACAAAAAACATTCAAAGGCATCTTGCCAGCTGCCGCCAACAGTGGTGGGTGGTCTTGTTTCCTCCTCGCAAACATTACCGTGTCCTTGATAATGAAAACGAAAGTGACCCCAATGTCGCGGTGACAAATTGAACAATTTCCCGAAATGAGTTCTCACTGCTCTCCACGTTCATCAACTGCAAACATTCCTGTATTCCCGACAAAACTAATCAACAGCTGACTATCACTGACTGAATGTCCAAGTTCCATTCTTTACCTGAGTTCGTTCGTTCGTAGATTCCTCAGTTCCTCTGTAAAAAAAAAACCCTGAATAGTTCCTCAAAATCATCCCCCAAAACTTCCTTCCCTTATTCCCTAGTTCGTCATTAATAACCATCCCCTTGTCAGACGATAACCACCACTGTAGCTGAGAAAGTGTCGTTAAATAAGCAAAGAAACTCAGAAACAATACAGAAATTATGCCAATATTGTTGATAACAAAAACAAACAGTACAGATACTACACTGCATAGATTAGCGGTTCTCAAAATCAAAACCCAAATAAAACGCGTTACATTTCACGCCATTTAGTCGCTTGGGGGGAGTGGAGCTACAGCTCCTACTCATTCTTAACCTCGGCACTAGATGGCGGTGAGTGGTCGGCATCACGCCCCGGGAAAAGGTCCCCGGTACCCACTGGACAGGAGGCTGGGTGGGCCCCAGAGGCTAGAGGAAAAATCCTCTGATCGAACCCATATTTGTAGCGTACAATTTTCTTGCATGATAAGCTATTTTTTTTAGATAATTAATTGAATTAAATTGTTCTTCACGTAAAATTAAGCGTAAAAGTTGACTGCTTCTTGCACAG